ATTTCAAAAACTCCGATTAAAATTACTTTTTATAGACAATTTTTTTAATTTAAGATCTCTTATTATTAGAGTTTCCGTTGCTTTGAATTTATACATTATTAAAAAAATCTTTAAATAAAAAGAAAATTGTTCAAATGACAAGAGGGTATTCATTAGAACAAGATTTGAGATTATTAATCAATAATCCAAAATATAATGATGTAGAAATTTATGCATGAAAAAATGTTAGTTTAGCTGCAAGTTATAAATTATTTGACAGATTACTTTTTAGTAGAGTAGGAAAAATTTATGATGTACAAATTTCTTTTTCAAAGATTTATTCTTCAGGAATCGAAGTTATAATGAAATATCTTTCTTTATACAGGAGTTGCTAAAGAGAAATCTTTAACCAAAGAAAATATCGTTTAAACTTTTATTTCTACAAATTTTATTTCTGCAGACTGCCGGAACTTCAAGATTTTATTGCGAAGACCGTTAAAAGTACCTTAGAAAAGATAATTATTCTCCTGAATTATTATCTAAAATTCTTGAAACAGAAGAAAATATTCTTTCTAATCTATTACGTTAAATACCATTGAATTTGGTCGCTTGCTTAGTACAGCACTTCGAGACCTTTTATCTTGCACTTATGAAAGGATAAATCCTTTGTAACCCCAAAATATGAGGTTTTTAGATATAGTGAAAGTGATATTTCTAACGATTCAACTAAAACACTTTTATCACATGGATAACTTTAAGCAAATTGATAATGTGCTTATCCCAAAACATAATAAATTTGCAAAGAATTAGTATATTTGGTAAATTATACTGATTTCTGACGAATTAAAAGCCAAATATTAGTTAATATCATTGAACCATTAAACATTATCCCAGTTGAAACAATTTTAAATGTTAAACGACATAGGGTAATATCATGTAATACAGAATTAAAGTACGTTCGTGGACATTCATCAATATCTAACAAAACTGGGACGAGTCAGCGTGTGGATCAAATCTTATTATTGAGAAAAATTGTGTAATTGCTTGTGTGCATCGTGCTCCGAGCAGATCGAATAGACCCGGTCCGCTCGAGAAAAAATTCAATCATTTTAAGTCACGAGTCTTAATTTCTTAAAACCCGTCGGGTTAGGGTCACGATTTTTCTTGACCAATGGTCAGGTGATCTGATCAAATCCGATAATACATCTCTTGAAGTATTGCGAAGTGATTTAATTGCCAAAGATCTTCTTGAAGAGAGTATTTCTTCCACCTGAATTTAAATATTCAAAAATTCATTGAGAAGTTAAATTCTTAATTGCTCGTATGTCTTTTTAATAGAGAATATTACAGGTTATTATTATTTTTTTTTTTAAAAAGATTTTTATACGACAAATAGCATGCTCCGCAAGGTTGATGATTTTAATACAACAAATCATTGGTATACTTTAGAACGTCATCATTAAAATAAAAATGAAATAAATCAACGAGTGTTCCTGTGAATGAGTTAGATTTGGTCTAGATTTGGTCATAAAGCCAATTCAATTCGGTTTTGTATGTGTTTGAATTCCTGGTTGATATAAAATACAATAAAATACTAAATTTCAAAGAACTTTAAAAAAAATATCTTTCAATTAATACACATTTATATAAAAAAATATTTTACTTAGGTATTAATTTTAACCTTAAAATTCGAATCGAATCCGAGTTTAAAAATAATCAGGACGAGATGAATAATAATATTAACGGGTTCGAGTTCGAATATACTACAAACCCGACCCTTACGGAGCACTATGTGTGCATCATAAAATTTTATTATGAAATCTTCGCAGGATCTCAAAATTGATATTAGTCTCTTGTCGTTATAAAGGTGAAAATGGTGTTTATTGCCCTTATTGTCCTTCATTTAATAGCTCATTAAGATATGAATAAAAGGACCTATTCATTTACTGTCAATGGTATACCATATCAGAATGGAAGGATCTACCATCCCTGTGGTTTCATTGTTTCGAATTCAGTTTCATTGAATTTGGTTATAAGAATATAATTTAGTACATTTATTCATGTTTAATATTGATTTATCAATAAAATTTATAATGGAATCTTTATTTATAAGCCATATATGTAGGTTACTTATCTTTATTTTCATAAACTTTTTGACACTCTCGGAACTTGACTGCGCCAAAAATTGGCCTTGACGATCAATTTGCTGACTGTTGGAATTGACATTTCGGACTTTTACGCAAGTTAAGACTCCTAGGTATGTTATAATGTATATTTCAAATGACCGATTTTGAAATAATGAAGTGATTATTAAGCGTTTCTGTCATTCAAGCCGCAAGAAACGGATCTTTGTCAAGAATACTATGACCAAGCCTTGGGAAGGAAATATATTATAAAAAGAAGGGATTTTCGTCTTAGAATTTATTCTCTCTTCTGTAATAATTGCATTTTTGTATTATTTTATTCAATAAACTGATTTTCCTTTTATTTCTTTTAATAAATATTTTATATTCAATTGATTTACATTATAATTCGCTATAATACATTGTGTTCCATAATAAACACAATAAACATAAAATCACCCCTTTTCAAATTTAGGAGGTGACAATTGTTTTGAGCACACATCAATGATGACAACCATTTCAAAAATCCCAAAGAATCACGTGAATCATATAAATTATGCGAGAAGTTCTATTTCTATACAAATGTTGAGTATAATTAATAACTAAAACAGAAACTACTATATATATACTATATAAGTATATCAATACAATAATCTATATAAATTCGCTAAAATTGTATAGTTTCTGCAAATACTAGACGGAGTTTATTCGTGAATCTAAATTGTACCACCTCATTTAATTCCCTTTATGACATGTTCTTGAAAAAATTTGCCTATTAATTTTTATTTTTTAAGGGATGTGCGTGATGAATCCTTTGGAAGGAAATTTATTATATATTCGTTTTGCTATCTATTTTCGTTAGGATAGGATTAGGAATATTCTCTTCTCCTTAGATCTATTAAGCGTCGGCTAAACGTTGAAATTATTTGTAATTTTTTTTTTTTATAAACAAAGTTTCTTTTTTTTTATTCTTTAAATTTTTTTATTATAAACTGATAAATAAATCTGAATTGTAATATTGTTATCGATTGTATTAATTAATCTAAAAATTAATTAACATCTCCAATACGAAATTAGGTGATTGATTTGTCATTAGCTTAAGATTTCGGTTCTCATATTTTTGGGGGATTCGAATCTCAATTTTATCAATAATAAACTTAAATAAATTGCCGCATTATGAAATCCCAAAAAAGAAAAACAATAAAAAATAAAAAAATGAAAATGAAAAATCGCTGTATGAAAAAAAAAATTTATCAATCTTTACCGCAGCTGTATAGTATCAAGCGATTTGAAAAATTTCACTTTCTCCTCTTGCAAATTATCAATATGTTGTAGTTGTCTATGTGATGATACCCACAATCTCAAATTATCGTTGTTAGCAGCCTTAAAAATGATTTTAAAAAAAAGTTAATAAAAAAAGATGCCGAGAATGTATGTGAGATAGTTTTTTTTTATTAGCAAGTACTTTGAAGATAATATAACTGAAATAAGGTTTAATCCCCTCTACATTAAAAACAACCTTGTGTAAGTTTGGAAAATAATAAAGCTTCACAAATTCCAATTGTCATCCAAATAAAGCTATTTAATTATGTAAAAATGATCACATAATAACTTCATACTGACGCCATATTCTTCCTTTTAATAAATTGAAGTGAAATTTTGTTTTTCTAAAATGGTTCACAATATTCACAATATGTACATCACACATTAGTAATTAATATATAAATAGGTAGGATAGTCTCGCTAAGTTCTTCAAAAAAATAATATCTAATATTGATCAGAAAGAAGTGTCCACAGCAGGAATTTGCTGGTTTACTGCGAATTTCTGCAAGTAATCGTAAGTAATCTACTATTACATTTTTTTTAGACCAGCTTATGTACAAAAAATCACCACGGAGAAAGAAATAGAGTGGGTCCTGGATCTCCAAATCTCACCTGTTGGATTTTTTCGCTTGATTCATCCCATTCAACCCAATATGATAGTGCCATCGAACAATATAAAACTGCCTACAAACAGGCTCCTCTATAACTTGTTATTAACCATGATGTACTCAGCACAATAAATGCTGCTGTAAATATTCGACGTCAAATTTTGAAGTTCGTGTTTTATTTTTTTATTTATTTATATTTTTTTTTCCTTATTTTTAGGAAGAAATGATACAAAAATATTGGAAAAGTTATAATAGAAAAAAAAGACGGTACGTCTAATTATTACAATTGCTCTAATAGTGATTACTTATATCATCAACAAATTTATATTTATATTTATATCATATTTTAGTTTCCAATCCAATTGAGGTCAAAATATTGTAATTAAAGACTATGACTTATTTGCTCGAGAAAATTGAAAATGAAGAGAATCAGAGTAATGAAGACGAGTCAGTCAAAGATGATGATAATAAGAAAGTTTTATTGAATACAATGATAAGAACTAATTTATGATGATACAAAGGAAGGATGTATTTAGAAGAAATCACATTTAATTCCTTCGACACGTATCATCTCACAACTACAAAATACGGGTTTAGATGATATGAGGCTTTACAAGTGTTGATACATCTCTCAGACTATTATTGACACCCGAATTAAAACGCTTTAAAACAAAACAAGAAATTATGTTAATCGATTCATTATTATTTTAGATTTTAGTGGAATTACTTACAACTTTGGCAGAGTTAATTTCATCAATTTCTTTACATTTTTTAAAAGTTTTGTATCAGTTTCGCTGAAATGTAACTTATTTACAGCTTCATCCCATCCCTTTAGACTAAGATCATCTCAAAAAATTCAATCAGATAATTGAGGAGTTCTTCAGTGATCTAATTATCAATAGAATCAAAGACCAGATGAAGAACTTTTTTCTTGAAGTTTGAAATCCAATGATAATGAAAATTTCGACTATGGACGTAGATCCATAATAATATTGTTAAATTCTTCAAAATGGTTGGAAATTTCACTTTCAGCTGGTGATAAATTTACGTGTTCTTTCAGTACTTCCTGTGATGACTTTTTGCCTAAATAAAATAAATAACAAATTACCTCAAGGGTCTAATTGACATATAAAATAAATTATGATTACCTTCAGATTAAATTCATCCTCACTAACATCGTTAAAAGATAAAACATCTATCATAATTGACCTAAATCAAATAATAAACCTGTATTTCATAAGCTATAATGGTGTATGAAATGGTGTATAAAATAAATTGAGTAGGATTTCTTACTGAAAGTAAAAATTATGCAATTATTCGTGATGAAGGAGTGAAGCCTAAAGAATTGAAAATCATTTTTTAATGATGACAATAAGAACATGCTCGTACAATATAATCAAAACATTTTTTCAGATATCTGATTAAATTAATGTATGTTATTAACCTAGACTTTATGTATAAATAATTGTATTTTAAGAGTAAAGTTTTTATTATTAAGCGGTAAAATTAACCAAAAATACAATAACGACTTGATCAATAATTTAAATATTTGATAGTTATCATTGAATTATAAATAAAATTACGTATTGATTGAAATTTCCACCTTTTCTCATCTCCATATAGATTTAAAAATTATTTTTAGATACAGCGTAAGTATATTATATTCAGCCTTCAAATGAAAATTAATAATAATTTTAATATGCATTATACAGGTTTTTAATCAAATCATTTCAAAAGTACGCAACTTAATGATATTATTTATGTGTTACTTGACAAGTGATGTTACAAAAAAAAGTTTTTTTACTTCACTTCGACGTAACGATACAATTTTGCAGATTAATATTGCCTCTCAGTACGGATACGATCATGTTTTGTATCATACCATACTCCTCCCTAATAAATACTCGTTAGTGACTTTTTTTGATTACATATTTCTATTTATGGAATATCAATTTTAACTTTACTTGAAATTAGATACGAAAAATTTTTAAATGTTAAATATCATTTGAAGAGGCTTGGTACGAAATTTCAAGTATTTTTAATTAAAGGAACTAGACTAGTGGGCAACAGTAAATATTAATTTGCGATTTGAAATAATTATTGAAGAATTATTTCACTAGAAGCGTAATTAATTATTTACATATGATTGTCAAGACGAATCAAAAATAAAAATGATTTAGATCCAAATTTTTTAAAAATTTTCATACTTTTTCATATTTTCATAAAGAATTTGTATTGCAATAGAAATTAAAATTGAATATAAAAATAAAGGTATGAGACTTTCTTAACTTCAATAAAGTAGAGTTTTGACATAACTACCCATATTTCTGATTAGGGCTCCGAGCCTGTCGAATCGACCATGGTCATTTGACCCAACTCGAGAAAAAATTCGAGTCGGGACAATCATTTTATTTCGCGGTTCCCAATTTCTTAAGACCCGTCAGGTTAGGGTCACGATTTTGCTTGACCCAGGTATAAAAATACAAAACCCATCGAGAATATTTAATATGGTTTATTACTGGTTATTATTTTTTTTTTTTAACAAATTATTGGTTTCATTTAGAGCGCAATCATTCAAATCAAAATGAAATTATTTTAATAAACAACTAGTGTTCCTGTTGAACGAGATTATATGAGATCTTTAAGCTGATAAATTGACGCGTGTATGAGTTCGAATTCCCGGTAGCAATAATATATTTAAAAAATCTAAATTTAAATTAATGTACAACCAAAGAACTTTAAAATGTAATAAACTTTTAATTTAATACACTTTTTTAATTATCTACATAAATAATTTTTTTTTTACTTTCAATACAATATTACACCTAAAATTCGAATAGAATCCGAGTTAAACAATAATCCGGACGGGTCGAACAATAATCAGATCGAGATGAATTCGTAAATATTAACAGGTTCGAGTTCGAATATGCTTCAAATCCGACCATTACAGAGCACTAGTTCTGATATTAAATCAGGGTTCCAAACCTAATTTATCCAATTTTCAAAAGTTAAGAAAGATAGTTATTGAAGAATAGGAGTTAATTCCTAAAGAAATATATTATTTGTTATGCTTTTCAAATTAAAAGTAGTCATTTCTATGAAGATTCTAAATATATGAAATATTTATTTCTGAAATATGCTATATCTATATATATATATTTAATATACAATATTTTATTGAAATTTGATACATGATTTAATTTTTATTAAAAAAAATAAAGTGAAAGCACATTCTATTAATTCAATGTAGCAAGAATTTACCATATAATAATTTAATCGATACTGCGATCAAAATAAAAATTAAAAAACTAATTTTATTGTCTGAATAGTCGACCGATCGGTTAATTCTTCGCAATATATTAATTTTTTATTTATATATGGAATGGAATCTAGGTGGATACGGAATGTTGACCAGAATTAAGATCAATTAAGATTGGTGTATGGAATAGGGTTAGAGTGCCGGCCAAGATCCAGTATCCACCGATATCTAGAAACCACATACACCATATATACAGTATATGGATTGTTTACTTCCTGAATCCTTTCATACTTGTGACGCGGCATTAACAGACTTCAAATATAAGTTTATTACAGTAAATACAAAAGTTTAATATACAAACATGATTAGGAAAATCGTAGTTTATTTATTTTTACCATAGAATATTTTTTGAAAATGTAAAAAAAAAAATAATTAATAGTTATTTATTATTTTTTTCATATATTATGCTTAGTAGTTGGACAAGACGAGTCAAGATTTTCATGGCACTAGGAGTAAAATTCGAGTTATCTCGAATAGAGCAGTGTTGAATATATGTCTAATTGAACATACATAAAGTTGATGGGTGTCATTCAAATCCCAAAGATCAAAATGCCCGAGATCATAATCCCGAATGACCATTATACCGAATATTATTATAATATAAAATGGTTATTTATTACAATATTCGAATTCGCATGACATGATTTATTTAATAATTTTTAAACTTTCTTAGGATATGATTTCGTAATTTACATCCATTCTAGCATTATTAAAACATATGAAAGCGATGGGTGGCAAAAGTATTTAAAACTGGTCAAGATTAAATTTTTTTGCAAATTTTTAAAAGCAAAATTTTAAAATCTCAAACAACTTCGTTAAACACGTTATAAGACAGACTTTTAATAATGTATTTTATATTTCTTACATTTAATCAATAGTTTTGATTGTACCTCCAATAGATGTCCAACACTAGACTCGAGTGACCAAATGACGATATAATTTAAGTCTAGTTCATGAAATTTACAGTATTTGATTGCGATTTATATAGACTTTAGAACTTGAAATCTATCAACATAATTTTTTAAATATATATATATACTGCAATATTTTAATATGCGTAATATGATAAACTCACATTATAAAAACCAGAGTCTAATTCTCTATGAGCTATCCAGCTCTTCATTTTACTTGGAATATTATTGTCATCATTAAAAGGTCTACTTGATGATAAAAAAAAAATAAAAAATTTATTAAAATTTTTTACAAGTAAAATGAACTGTATAATTAAGATAGAATTCAGTTCAGTAGCATAAAAAATGTTACATTGCGGTTTGTTAATGTGATTAGTTTTATTCTTCTTTTTAAATTTTATATGTATGATTCATCTGAATTGATAAAGTTTTGCAATTCAAGTAAGACTAATTTAAGAGATCTATTTTCTACAATTAAAAATCTTTAGAATTTAGTCAAATATCTAAAGTCCTAAATGTGCTAAATCTTAACTCTATTTTTTTGTAAACACATTCCTAACCACTTGTATTTTTTTATTTTTATGACATCGAAAGCATTATCTGCATTAATTAATAATTTTTTTTTGTTATGATATGTATCATATAAGTGAATGAAAATATGTATCACAATATATATGAAGTGAATGAAATTTTGTTAATATAATTAGAAAGTGATTTAATAACCTATATGAAAAAAATTACAGTACTCACATAAGACTTAAATACAATAATTTTTTGTTTTGCACATATTGAATATCTGTTACGTGATTTAATTAATTATTAAAATAAATATACTTATGTTAAGTTATTTTTTTTTAATCATTTCTTAGAAATTATAAGAAATATAAATATTCAAATATTATTTTTAATTAGTTTTTAAAATATAGTTTTGTATTTATTTCTAAATAGAAAACATGAATTAAAGATTAAATCAAGAAAATTTAATAGAGAATCATTTCATATAATTCACCAGTTATATCGTCAAGACAAACCTATTTAAAGTTCGTTATTATATTGTGTACTAAAATCTTAATAACCCATAAAAACTATATTGTTTATGGAATGTGCGTAAACCTTTTTTTATTGTAGTTAAAGATAAAATAAAAAAGATAGATTCTTTATAAGTCCTTTATTTAAAGAAAATTTTCCATAGATAATGTGATAATTTGTAAAAATAAATCATGTTTTGAAACAGGAACAACATCAATTGGAGTGTCCTTGTAAGATATGTTTTTTTTATAATTGAAGATGATTATGTTTCATTAATGAATAAGAATATTTTCGCAACCTTATTTATTAAATTATAAAAATAATTTTACACGCAAGAATAAATTCAAAATATATAAATGAAAAAATAATACATCTGAACTTACGCCATCTTAGAGTTTAATGAAAATCCCCAAAAATATAAAATTCATATTCCAATAGTAAGAAGCGAATAAAGGTATTACAAAGATTGTAATGAAATTGTAAGAATAAAGAAGAATTTTGTCTGTATTTGTATTGCAAGGTTTAAAAAGTCAGAATTAAATGTATTCAAATTATATGTATAAGGTAAAGATTTAGGCAATGGTATGTAAGTTATTGTTTATTAAAGTATTGAGTCTTTAAAGATTTAGGATAGATAGACTTTAAGGAATCGGGTAGATTTGGTAAGCTAGTTATTGGTGTATTGTTACAGTTAAGATAAATTAAGGAGTTGGGTAATGTTGGTAGGATAGTTATCGGAGTAGAAGAGCAATCAAGTTTCTTTAAGGAGTTGGGTAATGTTGGTAGGATAGTTATTGGAATATTATTACAACAAAGTATTTGTAAGGATTTTGGTAACGTTGGTAAGATAGTTATTTGAGTATCATAACATTTAAGTTCCGTTAAGGAGTTGGGTAATGTTGGTAGGATAGTTATCGGAGTAGAAGAGCAATCAAGTTTCTTT